AATTTCATGGGCTCTCCCAGAGGAAACAGCATAACACAGCATAACACTGCTACTTCTGTTCCATTTTACTCTCAAGAAAAATGAGGATTTGTATTTCAAAGGTCAATTAAATCCATAAAGACTAAATGAAATAGGCACATGATTATTGTTCCAAATTTCATATAGCCAACAGAACTTCCCAAAAGATTATTTTCAATGCTCTCTAATGCACTAGTGTTTAAAGGCTCTGTATGTCTTCCCTGAAGGACAGCAACACAAACACAGGTAAGGAAGTTTGTCTGGTAATGACATCACAATTGTGAAAAAAAGTAGAATTGGCAGATATCCCTGGCTGCCTTGTTTTAAATAATACTATAAAATTATCTATTTTTCACATTTTAATACAACTGGAATAAAAATGTAGTAGATTCAGCTTGGGAGGCAGGTTGTTCACATACAATGAAGTGTGCACTGAGTTTGATCAGAAGCCAGAAGTGCTACCAATTGTCTGTCAATCCATCCATCAATCCTTCTCTCCCTTTCTCGACAGATGGGTTCATTATTTCTGGTTTATTCAGAGAAAGTGGTATTTTAAATGCATTAAAGCTATTGTTACAGCCCTGTCAACCACACATGTCCCTCTTCTGTACCCAGTGAGTGTTCAGTGAGTCTGACACTGTCTCCACCAACACCTCCTAGAGAACAACAGCTTTAACTGTGAGCTTATGATGAGCCCTTGATCTGGCTTGAGCTGCTACAGGCAACAATTCATGTGCTTACTGTTCTGAAATAAATAATAAATCCTCCCCTGTGTGCTTTTTTTTAACTTCTTGGTGCTCTGTGGCACACAGGAGCTGTACTGGTGACATGAACAGGCTTTTTCTGTGTGTAATGGGTCATTTTATGAATGACCTGGTATCACCTGGTTCCACTTTCTCTGTCTTTAATGCTGTATGTATAATCAAAATGTCAGAAAAAAAAAAAAAAATCCAACACCTCTTTTATCTCTGGTACACAAAGCCTGGTGAACTGGGGATCTACTTGGCCACTGCAACAGGCTCCTCAGGGCAGTGGCCACAGCCCTAAGCCTGCCAGAATTCAAGCAGCATTTGGACAACGCTGCCAGGCACAGGGTGGGATTTTTGGGGGTGTTCTGTACAGGAGCTGGACTTGATGGACCATGTGGGTCCCTTCCCACCCAGGATATTTTGTGATTCCATTTAATGCACTGCTCTTTCTCTTCAACTGTCACCAAAATGTGTCAAGTATGGAAGACCCTCAGAATGGGGTGAAGACAACATGAGTTTTCCTGTTTTTTGCTGACCCCAAATTTAGCTGCTTCCTGGCACACCACTGATTTAGCACAAGTGCTTAAAAGCACACACAGCACATTTTATTTTCTATTACTTTTTTCTCACTGTTTCCTGGAACCACATACATGCCTGGTCTTCAGAGTGTGCAGTAACAGAGTTCTGTATTTTACAGTGCCAGGTACCTCCTTTTGCTTTAAACATGCATCTAATAAAACGGACATCCTTGATTTCTCATGTTATTTATTTCTTTTTCATGGCCACTTGTGGTTCTGAAAGCTTGTGCCAGCAAAACTGGAGGGATTTGTTCTTTTTTGGAACAGTAATTCCTGTGTACAGGATTCTTGGGGCTGCAGATGAAGAGCACACACACATTGACAAGAAACAGACTGAAGTCGCACCAGAAGTTTAGATTAGTTATTAGGATTTTTTTTTCCCATGGAAAAGGTGGTAAAGCATTGGAACAGGCTGCTAGGGAGGTACTGGAGTCACCATTCCTGGAAGTGATAAAAAACCCATGTGGATGTGGCACTTAAGGACAGGTCAAATGGTAAGCATGGTGATGGTGCTGGGTTGATGGCTGGACACTTGATGATCTCAAGTCTTTTCCAATCCTAAAAATTGTATGACTCTGTCTTTGTTATTTCCACATTTGGAAATATGTTTAAGGGCAAGAGATTCCTGCTGCCTCATCCCCCTAGAACATAAGAAACCTGCCTATGCAGTACAGGTCACACTCCAGCCTGCGAGAGGCACATCTCCAAGCACAGCACAGCCCATGCTTCCACTCCAGTGGCAGTGGGAACAGTTTCTCTGGAGCAGAAGGACACAACACACACATGGCTGAGCTTCCCATCTGCAGCCCAAGGGAAAAACAACACCAACGTGACCTTGTGACCTTTGCCCACTGAGGCAGCAGGAAGGAGGAAGGCACAGGTTACTGGGGAATGCAACCCAACACACAGCCAAGGAATCACAGAACCAGTTAGGTTGGAAAAGGCCACTCAGATCACAGAGTTTAATCTACACCTGATCACCACCATGTCAATGAGACCGTGGCACTCAGCGCCACATCCAGTCTTTCCTTAAACACCTTCAGGGACGGCAACTCCATCACCTCCCTGGGCAGCCCATTCCAATACTTAATCATTCTTTCCTGTGAAAAAATTCTTCCTAAAGTCCAACCTAAACCTCTCCTGGTGCATTCTGAAGCCATGTTCCCTTGTCCTGTCGCTTGCTGCCTGGGACCAGAGCCCGACCCCCACCTGGCTGTCCCCTCCTGTCAGGGAGTTGTGGAGAGCCAGAAAATCCCTCCGAGCCTCCTTTTCTCCAGGCTGAGCCCCCTTCCCAGCTCCAAGCCAGAAAATCCCCCCGAGCCTCCTTTTCTCCAGGCTGAGCCCCCTTCCCAGCTCCCTCAGCTGCTCCTCGTCAGACCTGTGCTCCAGACCCTTCCCCAGCTGCGCTGCCCTTCCCGGCACTCGCTGCTGCAGTCCCCAGACCCTCTGATGTCCCTGCACTCGCTGCTGCAGTCCCCAAACCCTCTGATGTCCCTGCACTCGCTGCTGCAGTCCCCAAACTCTCAGATGTCCCTGCACTCGCTGCTGCAGTCCCCAAACTCTCAGATGTCCCTGCACTCGCTGCTGCAGTCCCCAAACTCTCAGATGTCCCGGCACTCGCTGCTGCAGTCCCCAAACTCTCAGATGTCCCGGCACTCGCTGCTGCAGTCCCCAGACCCTCTGATGTCCCGGCACTCGCTGCTGCAGTCCCCAGACCCTCTGATGTCCCGGCACAGCGGCTCCAGCAGACCCGAACCTGCCCCGGGATACCCCAAACCCTGAACCCCCCGCGCAGGCGCACCACGACGCCCGCGCCTGCGCACCAGGGAGGGCTCCCCCCCCGACCACCTGCCCGGGCCTGAGCGGGGACGGGAGCTCGAACCCCGCCGAGTCTTACCTCGGTGTTCCGCCACACGCCGCCTTTAATCATAATCCGCGGCATCTTGGCGGCGAAGGGAGGCGGGGACGAACCCCTGGACCGAAAGAATGGAGAGGGGGCGGGAGCGCCACTGGCGTCAGCGGGGCCGGCCGAGACGGCACACGGTCGCCCTCAGCGGCGGCGGGTGCGGTGGGTGAGGGAAGTGGGGCCGGCTGCTCTGCCAGAACAGCGGGAAGCGGGACCGGCGGCTTTTCCAAGGGAAGTGAGGCCGCTGCGCCTCCAGGGAAGCGGGTCCGGCCGCTTCGCGCATGCGCAGCCCCCCCCCCCCCCCCCCGGCAGGTCCTGAGGCGGCGCTCCGCGCTAGCGCCACCTGCCGGCCGGAGGAGCGCACGGCGGAGGCCGGCGCCGAAAGGAGGAACTGGGCGTTCATTAAATTCCTCAAATTTCCCCAAGGGACGCAAATGAGGGAGGAAAGAGACAGCGGAAGGAGACCACATCTCCCCAGTGTTCCCAAGGTAGTTTGTTAATTTCAGGAGAAAGCCCCATGCGTTTATGTGTGGAATAAATTCTTGGCTGTGAGGGTGGTGAGGCCCTGGCGCAGGTTGCCCAGAGAAGCTGTGGCTGCCCCATCCCTGGTGGTGTCCAAGGCCAGGCTGAACAGGACTTGGAGCAACCTGGTCTGGTGGAAGGTGTCCCTGCCCATGGCAAGGGGTGGAACGAGATAATCTTTAAAGTGCCAATGCAAAACTATTCTATGATTCTACAAGAGAGCATCATTGATAGTGTATTTGCATATGAACACTCACGTACACACTAAAGGAGCATGTACAAGGTACATAGGTGAATTTGGGAACTTTTCATAGGTAGGTACTCATGTCACTCTCAACAGGTGAGGGGTTGAGTCTCAAAGAGTGGGGATCTCAGCTCAGGATCTGTCACTGTCCCTCAGCTGTGCTCCCAGGTGTCTCCAGCCTGGGAGCTGTGTGGCTCAGAGGCCCCACTCAGAGGGAGGTGCTGGTCTCAGCCCGCTGCAGTCTGGAGAGCTCAGAGGACTTAGAGAGTCACAACAGACGTGGCTTAGCTCGTAGCCATTTTCCACCCTGGCTGCAATTCAGGTTGGTAACTTTCTCTGAAAGTTCAAAACCAAAAACATTGTTCCACCTGGGTGGTTATTCAGGTAAGAAAAGTAAGTTCCCAAAGGCTCTTACAAGCCAGGGAGCACCTTAGCCAGCACAAGTTTCTGGGAGCAGACAGTGTTTTGGATAAGCTCAAGAGGAGCTTGGCTCAGCTTGTCAAGGCCAAGCCCTAAGGAGCATTTCTGAGACCACAGTGTGGCCCACACAGGAGGATGCACCACCACACCATACAGGTCTGACTCACTATTGTTCATTTAAATCACCTCCAGTTAAACTTGCATTCATTTAATTTGCAGATGCACAGCAGGTAAAATGACAGCCTCTTGCTCAATTTGTGTTGGTACATTTCCCTGTTTTGTCCAAATTCAGGATATGTTCATGGAGAAAATTATGAAACTTTTTTGGTTTAAATAGGAAACTTCATAGTATGATTTAAGAAAGGCTTTGATTTTTGTTTAAACTGCAGGAATAAAAAAAAACACTTCTAGCTACCAAAAAAAAAAAAAAAATCCAACAACAGCCCATGTCTTAAATGAAACTGAATATGCCTCAGCCTTTAAATTTAGACTGAGAATACCTTTGAAACCCTAGAAATCCAGTGTAGTGCATAAGGAACAGAAAGCAACGTCAGGAGTCATTGAGCTGCTTATTTTTATTAGAAGCAGCAACTAGGAATAATTATTTTTATAAAATCAAGCTCTAACTGAAAATACCTTCTTGTTCTTACTTAAACAAGAAACTAAAACTTGAAGAAACTTATATTTACAAACTCTTTCAAAAATTTACTGCAGTTAATTTATCCCCCTAAACCAGGCTCTTTTCATCACTGTTGTACGCCATGCTTTTAAACAACAGTGCTCTATCAGATTTAGCCTTTCTAGTCTCATTTGATATAGAGGCTTACAATTCCTTCAGTATTGTTTTCTCTTTGTACCTGTTCTTTTCAAATAAATGATCAGAATTGTAAAGTAATGCAGGTAAAAACGCCTCTAAGCTTGAGTAACCAGTAATATTTCCCAGAAATGCTTTTCTTTCTTCATACAGGAGAACATTCTTCTTTCTCAGAAGTGGATTAGGTGGCTCCAAGGTCTAAATCATTCATCTGTAACCACCATGGTTCAGGCACAGATACTTGTCTGACCTTACTGAAGCTGCCAAGAACTGGATCACCTGAATATCTTTGCTGATCTGGCATTAAATACATTCATCTGTCCATGAGTTTCAACCCATTATTGGAAAATTGTCTTCCAAATTGCAGAATGGCTGCAGGTGTTCTGGAAGACAAGCCCCTGCTCAGGCAGGGCCACCCACAGCTGGTTGTCCAGGATTACATGCAGATGGCTTTTAAATATCTAAAAAGAGAGGAACTCCACTACCTCCCTGGGCAGCCCTTCCCATCCTGTCTCCTATGTTACCAGAAAGCCTCTACAAGACATTATCTGTATTTCTACAGAAAGACACACATCCAGAAGCAGAAAAAAAAAAAAAAAAGCACCGAGTTCCACATTTACATTCTCTAAATTAAACCACAGGTTTGTTCTGCTGTTCCATGGACTGAGCTGTAGCATTGGGACAGTTTGTACCAGGCCTTTGCTGTTGTCTTTCCTCACACAAGGGGATAAGAGACTGTTGTTAAAACCACATACCACACTCAGGAGTTCCTATCACTGCAAAACTCCAAAACAAAGATTTGTCTAGATTTGGATATAAATTGGAAGCAGCATCCATTTGGGTTCACCATTCCCTGCACCAACTGCTGCATAGTACAATGGTTCTTACACACAGTAATTTAGACTAAGAGTGAAGTTCTTAAATAATTTTAGTTTCAAATACTGCTAAGTTTTCAATGTAACTAAATAACATTCATAATTACCAGCAACTGCTCTTATTATCAAAATTTATTTGAACAGTATTTAATCTACTTTAACAAACAACACAGTAACTACGAACCTGAGAAAAGGTAAGGCATTTCATACTGGATTAACATTAGACATTCACATAAAATTGAAGATTTAAAGGTTCCCAGTATCATAAAATAGATGTTTCTGGACATCACCATTTCTGTCAGACTACTCAAAAATTATCAAAACTACAGACAAGGTAACAGCTTAATAAACATCTTATACATACAGACATATGTAAAACATTTCAATGTCCCAATTATCCAGTGATGACATGCATATTTTGCTTCTGTAATTTGGTGACATACTCTTTTTTTTCCATTTTCTTACAAGTATTGCAAAGGTACCTGGAAGTAAAGGAGGCAACTTTCAGCAGATGGGAGGTAGCATTTAGCCTCCAGATACACTGACAAAGTTCACATGAAAAGTTATTACTACAAAATATAACATGCCCTTCCTTCTCTCCCGTTATACATTCTTTCAGTCAGAAAAGAAAGATTTTTTTTTCATATTAAATTTTTACAGGAAAGTAAGTGGTGCAGAATAACTGCTTAAACACAGATGAACACTGGCCAAAATAACTGACCTCTACTGAAGTGGTTACTCAGGGATGAAAAAGTGTCTCCAAGATGTTCAGCACAGGCTGTGCTAGAATTGATGTTCCCAGAAACACCTGCAGCAAACCAATACCCCAAGTGTCACTCTCTTGACCAATATGCTGGATGCATCCATTACCAACCACTGTTCTGGGCACAGCAAAGGAACATAAAGCCATGAAGAAATTCAGGACATGCAAACCTGTCCAAAACCAAGCACCAACTTCCAATTCTCACATTCCAACATTGTGCTGCTGCTTATGCTTCTCCAGCAGTTTTTTGGTGGGCAGCACCACACTACAGTTTGCACACCTGTACTTCTTTCTGTGTGTTTTTATGTGCTTTTGGAAAGCCTGTTTATCCACCGTGGAATACCTGCACCTCTTGCACTTCAGCTTGAGGTGAGTCAGCCAGTGGCGCTTGAGGTGGCTGGAGGTGCGGAAAGCCAGGGAGCACTGCCCGCACTGGAATGGCTTCTCCCCCGTGTGGATCCTCATGTGGAGCTTCAGGTTCCCGTTGTGGGCTGTGCAATAGCCACACTCCTCACACCTGTATGTCTTGACAGGCAGCTCAGTATGCTCGTAGAGGCAGCCAGGAGAGGAGGTTCCCTCCCCGGTATGCGAAGCCAGGTGCTGCTTCAAGGACAGCCATTTGTTGGTTGAGTAATCACAGCTCATGCACTTGAAATGCCCCAGGTTCAAATGTGTGAGTCTGTGCCTTTTCAGGTGACTGGAAGTACGGAACATCTTCTGACAAACGGGGCAACTGTAGGGCCTCTCACCTGTGTGAGTTCTGATGTGGAGCTGCAGGTTGCTTGAACTGCCAGTAGCATAGCTGCACTCTGAACACTGATACAATAGTGGCTGACTTTGTGCTAGCACATCGTTTGCTGTGCCCCTCTGAACACCTTGCTGAACACCCCAAACTTCTGAACCAAGCAAGGAGCTGTTTGAGCCTTTGCAGGCATCAAAATCCCTTTCTGGATATGTGCCTCTCTGGATTTCACGATGCAATTCAAGATTCTCTAAACACCTCTCTACAAAGAGGCAACTTCCAAACTCCTGTCCATTTTTCACATGAAGAAGGCTGTGTTTCTGCAAATGGTTTGATGTTTTAAATGTCTCATTGCACTCTTTACATACGAATGGTCTTTCATCCGTATGTATCTTTAGGTGCAGCCTGAAGTTGTTAGGAACAGCAGTAGCATAACTGCAGTGCCGGCATCTGTATGTTTGGAATGTATTTAAATTAGAAGGATATGTATCCTTCAAGTTTTTCACAAAGTTATGAAATGAAGCATCATCTTGCACTTGTGAATGAGAGGTCTTTGCTTTGAAGAAAGCCTCCTCTTTGTGAGGAGTGACAGGGTCCATTTGGTAAGAGGTCCAAGGAATTTCTGATCTGTTTCCAGTAAAAGCCAAGCTGTTGCTTCCTTGGCTGTTTTCAAGGAATTTCTTTCCAGAGCATATTTTCTTATTGTCCCACACATCACCTTCTTGCTCAAACTCCACTTCTGAAGCCAGGATTCCCCTACCCAGACAATCATTTTCTCCACCAAAAAGAGAGTGAGAAACATGGCCCTGAGAATCACCATCAGCTCTGCCTCTTGTACAGTATTTATTGCTCTGACTCGTGTAACCATTAGACTTTAACTGTTCATGAAATTTCTTGTGAAAGCTGAGATGTCCTTTAGTGTAGAACACCAGGTTACATTCATCACATGCATAAGTCTTTGCAGAACTTTCAGTTCTCTTTCTCCCACTCAGGCAGCTGGGTTGCTGCGCTTGGCACGTTTCTGTCTCTGCATGTGTCCTCCTGTGTCTCTCCAAACCTGAGGTGCTGGTGAATGCCACCTGGCAGAGTTCACAGCAATATGGTTTATCCCCTGCGTGGATGTGGCTGTGCCTCACCATGCTTGCAAAATACAGTGAAAAAAAGGTGCAGAACCTGCACTGGTAGAGCTTATAGCCAGCATGCCAGTACATGTGATTTAACAGGTAGGACAAGCTGCTGCAGGAGTAATCACACTGAGGGCACTGGTAAGGGGGTCTCTCCTTGTGTCCCTTCATGTGATGAATAAAACTCCTAGGACTGGATGAAACAAAGAAACAAATTCTGCAGGAAAAGCTAACTGGCACATCCAGGGGTGTAAAGTCCCTTTCAATTTTAATGAAAAATTTCTCGTATTTACTTTCTTTTTTCTTGGTCTCAGATTCTCCTTCAGATCCTTTCTGCCTCCCCTTTCTTGCACTTATTCTATTTTTTCTTGCCTTTTTCAACCTAGCAACCTTCTTATGAAATTTAAGGTGATTCTTGAGATTGAAAGAAAAGAAAAAGGCTTTTTTACAAAAGCAGCATTTATGTATTTTCTTATCTTTATGAGCTGAGTAAATATGTTTCTTCAGGTGTGCACTGAATTTAAACACAGAACTACAAAACCTGCACTTGAAACTAAATCTTTCATTCTCCTTTGTAAAACAAGATGTTTTAGGAAGAGGTGTGATGGTCACACTATCCTTCAGCCATGTGAAACCTTCTTCCTGGCTCTGGAACTCATTTTGGCTTGCATGAGAAGAAACAACTTTTTGTTGCTGGTATCTCTTCTTAGAGAACGGTGTTAACATCTTGTGAATATGCTCTCCGGTAGTAATTGATTCAGCAGAAGTAGAAGCATTCATGTCAGGTTTCCCTACATCTTCTAGATGTTCCTTAAAAGTAGAACATCCATTAACAAATGGATCAGAACAGTTATAGGTAAATTTCTCCTCTTCTTTCAAGCCATGTTCCAAAGGAGAACTCAGAGTTTCATCTTCAAATTTGCTTATTTTCATGTAATCAATTTCATCATCTCCATTCTTTGAGGAATCAGGATCTACAAGGAGATATAAAAAGTCACATTTCATACAATCACAAATATTCATTAATTCATACTAATAATCCTGAATTGCCTAATGACTTGCTTGTTCTTCATGACTTCTACTTCCTTGTTATTTCCCTCTCTCCACTTTTTTCCCTAATGCCTCTCTTCATGCTCCCCTCTGCCCCAACATTTAAATGTTGCTCCTAGTTAGAAGCCACCTTCTCTCCTACTTTCTATTTTCACTCAAGACTCTGAATTTCACAAGGCAACACCACATCCAGAACACCTTTATGGCAGAATTTCTATCAAAGTACTAACACCACACTTTTCTAATGCTCCATTCTCACAAATACCACGCTTTTTCTGCGTTTTTATTTTGAGAACATTTCCCTGATGAAAGGACACCCTTTTTCTCATTAGAGGAGAATGACAAAGTACTAACATTTTGTAGTTTCCCTGCCTTTCGCAGGAGTCTGTGACACAACTGAGCATACTCCAGGCAATATTTTCCTTCTGTTGCATTTATGAATCTAATTTAAAATGCTTACTCCAAAAGGAATTGATTTCATAGCTTCTCTATACAATTTTTTATTTCAAAAACTTGAGGTTTACCACATTTCTTAAACTCTTGCAAGAATCTTATTAATATATTACCTTCCATTTTAACAATGATCTCAAATTCCTTGTGGATTTCTGGTTGTGTCTGTGGACTGCCATCAAAAAGAACACTTGCAATACTAACAGGTTCTTCTTCCTCTTTGGGTACCACTACCAATGTCTCCAAAGTGTCAGCTCTGTCACTGTCAGCAGAGGAGAGGAGAGGAGGAATCTTCTGAAAGCCATCATTATCAACACAATCTTCTCCAGCACTGTATTTCACTACCTCTGGAAGCTCTGTTTTGCAAGACGATGTAGGTAACATGCCATTTTGACCATATTTATCCGTGCCAGCATCACACCCATCACCGGAAGATAATTCTGATGTGTTACACACACTCTCAGCGAAACATTTCCCCTCAGAGTACTTAATACAATTATCTTCATTTGAAACAGTCTTGTTTGCATCCCAATTGCCTAAACTGCTGCTGTCACTTGAAGGCTCCACTTCATTTTTTAGGCAAAAGCTGTTGTTTAATTTAAACTCTTGCTCCACCTCGGGAATGGACACTTCCTGGTCCTTATCATCATCATCCTGGAGAAAATCCTCATCGCTCAGCACCAAGATAGTGATTGGCAGCACAATCTCAAACACCTCGGGCTCTGCGAGGAGAAACAGACACAAATATCGCAATTCCCAAAAAAAAACCCCAAACACATGACAGCGCCGCGTCCACCACAATCCCCACGTATGCCCAGTGCGCATGCGCAAACCCCGGCGGGCCCACCAATTCTCCCCGCTCCCGCCGGCGCCGCTTTCCGCGTTGTCTCAGGCACCGCCGCTCCCGCAGGACCCTGCGTCCCTGCCCCGGCCTGCAGGCACCTACCGCTGTCTGCGGGGGGCTGCGGGATTCCCTCCGCACCCGCCTCCGCCACTCCCGGCTCCGTCGGCATCTCCGGGCCGCTGCGCCACGAGACTCGAACCAGCGGCCGGGCGCGCCTGCGCAGGGGGCGGGGGCGGGGCCGCTGGCGCCTCCTGGTTTTGGGGGAGAGGCGGGGTCACAGCCTGAGGAATGTCTGGGCTGGGACCCGGGGTTTTTAAATATGAGTTAAAATTCAGATTTAAACGTGCTTATAAGTTAGTTTAGAAACTCCGTTTAATCACCTGCCTGGGCTTGGGAGCCCCCAGCCCTGGGCAGAATTATTCGAATGCTACGCAAAACCTATTCCCGGTTCAAGCAGTTTTGATCGGTTGTTACTTTTCCTGTAAAATTAGATCTCAGCTAATACCGATCGTACTCTTAAGAGCGGAATTGTGCCAACAATAAGGCACTCCCTTGCTGGGTACAGAAAGAATCATAAAATAATCACAGGCAGGAGTCACAAAATTCATGGAAACACAAAACAGCACCTTTGGTTTTATCCTGTTCTCCTTGGCTGTTCAGGCTGAAAGTGGAAAATGTATGAACCTCTGTGCATACATATTTACATTATAGAGATGTAGGTCTTTATATACATACATAAATTTATATACATGCAGGATGTCCCTGCCCATGGCAGGGTGGTTGGAATGAGGGTCTATAAGGTCCCTTTCAACAAAAACCGTTCTGTTATTCTGTGACTTGGGGCTGGCTGAAAGGGGCCTCTGGAGATGATCCAGTCCGAACCCCCTGGCAAGGCAGGGTCACCTGGAGCAGCTGACACAGGGATGTGTCCAGGTGGGTTTGAAATGTTTCCAGAGAAGGACAATCCACAAAATCCCTGGGCAGTTCGCTCCAGTGCTCTGTCACCCTCAATGTAAAGAAACTCTTCCTCATGTCTAGGTGGAACTTGTGTTTCATTTTATAGCCACTTCTCCTCGCCCTGTTGGTGGGCACCACTGTAAAGACCCTGGCACCATCCTCCTGGCACTTGACTTGGAAATGCTTACATAGATTGTTGAGATTGCCTCTCAATCTTCTCTTCACCAGACTCACCAGGCCCAGTTCCTGCAGTCTCCCCTCATGAGAGATGCTCCAGAGGCCTCATCATCTCTGTGGCCTCTCCAATATCTCCTTGTCCTGCCATCCCTGGGATCCCCCCAGCTCCCAGCACCCTGACATTACTTTATCCCCACCCCAAGCTATGATCCCACATTCTGCACTGCTAGAGGATTCCCAGTTTCCATTTTCCAGGCTCAGCACTTTGTAGTGGTGCCTCCAGAAGAGGGTGGATTGTTTAGCCACTCCAGTGAGAGGAATTTTCCCTATTCCCTATCTTCTTCCCCCAATAAAAATCATGGAACCAGTTATCTGCCTTAATTTCAGAGCTTTGTACTTCTTGTATATGGAACTACACCCATTTGTAGGAACATTTGTTCAGTTTGTGAAATTTAGGTAGCATCTTTTTATTTTCAAGTAGAACTGATGAAAACTTGGGGGAGGAGCATTTCCAAAATCCTCCTAGCTGGGAGTATTAAATTAGGAACAGGTGAGAGGAGTATTGGCCTCTGTGTTTCAGCTCAGAGGGAATTTGGGAATCTCTACATAGTGAGAAGACTTGTTGATTGAAATAAGTGGGCAGGAGATCTTTCTCCTTTTTAATGCCTTTATTAAAGAGATTCAGCTCAGGTGGGGAGAAATCGACGGGTTGCGCCCACACTGCCTGGCAGGAAGGAGGAGGATGACGATGCAGCTTTGCCCGCTGGTCTGCAGGCAGAGCTGGGGATTGTGTCCTCACGGGAGATTGGCAGATTCCTACTTTTCGGTCCAACACTTCGGGTCCCCTCCTTAGTGAACATCCTTGAGGTCAGGGTGAGAAGCAAAAAGGATTCAAGCAGGCACTGGACTTTGTGCCCATCCTTAGACATCACCTAGGTCTCCTAATTCTATACTGGCTCGTTGTTTTTAGGGGTTTTCCTGGAAAACGGGAAGATTTGGAGCAGTGCATTTGTCATCTGCATACGTGGTCTCAGGCCACTCCTATTCTCCTGGTGCTGCCGTGTCCAGGTGTTGCTCCCGGGCAAGCATCAGGAGGACAATGGCTAAATCACCAATCATTGACGGGCAATTAAAGAAGAACTCTTAACAATGAAGCTAATTTAACAGCAATTGGTCTAACCCGTTTTAGCTCTGTAACCTTAAACAAAAATAGATAACTTTTTATTCATAACATTGATACTCCAAGGTGAGTGAAACAGGTGCTGGGCTGAGCAGCATGTCTTGCATAGACTTTTTGCTGCCTGAGCAAGCCACAACATGTGAAAAAAACAAAAGTAAAAAAGTCTCCTCCTGGCAGAACCGTCTGAATCTCCCCACAAGATGGCTCTGCAGCCACAGGCTCTGCAAGGGAAGAACCTGGAAATACTGGTTATTTCTCTTTTTTTTTTAAAGCATTAATAAAATAATCTCATTTGAAACATATCTGCCTCACTAGAAAACCTGCAAATTCTGCAAAAACTTTACAAAGATGTTAATCCAAGCCTTTTTCTTCAAAAGTGGCTTTTTCTACTCTTTTTCTTAAAGGAACAGACTATTACTCTCAGCCTAGTACTTAATGATGCCATCATGCAGTGAACAAAGTGACTGTGAAATGGCTCAGGAATGAATCTGGTCAGTCTGGACTTCATCTTCTTCATTACAAGCCCTTTGCACAAAACCACGTTTTGCATTCAGCTTGCAATGGAGTGATCTGAACCTGCTTGCAACTGTGCTTGTGTGCACACTCCTCCATGAAAAAGTGATGGAAAGTATCAGGAACAGGATGGAGGAAAATGGCTTTTAGATGAAAGAGAGCGGATTTAGAATGGGTATTAGGAAAAAAAATTCTTCCCTCTAATGGTGGTGAGGCCCTGGCAGAGGTTTCCCAGAGAATCCCCATCCCTGGAAGTGTTCTAGATCAGGTTGGACAGGACTTGGAGCAACCTGGTCTATTGGAAGGTGTGTCTGCCGATGGCAGGGGCTTGGAATGACATGATACTTAAGGTTTCTTCCAACCCAAACCATTCTGTGATCATATGAAATATTAGATACTATGAGAAATTGAGGCAAACCCAATAACTTCTGATTATTTGAAGTGTGGATTTTTGACATCTTTGTGGCCAGAATGGTGGCACAGACTTACTTCAACTAACATAAGATATTGACCTAGAAAGTGTTACTTGAGACTGTAGTCACCTTAGGCTGCAAGTGGGTTTTATCCTCTTGCATTTAATCCTGTAGGTTGGAAGGGCCTGTGCCAGTAATTTTGTAAGGTCTTACATCAGTATCCTTCACTTTACCAGCCAGGGCACATAACAAGACGTCTAGCTGGATATATTGAAAAAAAGCCTGAAAGTTGAGGGATAAAAGATAATGTCACTTTTAGACCAGGGAGAGTCAGAGAATTGTTCCTGGGGAGCTTACATTGTGTAGGTGCATAATGTAAGTGCATATGGTCTGGCAATAAGAGAAGTGGTAGCTGAATACAATCCAGCTGGAAAAGCATAGAAAAGGATCTGGATAAGTTGCAAATGAAGTTATTGATCCATATCAGCTAATATAAAGAGGCAAATATCTCCAGAAGGATTGCTCAGCCCAGTTTCAGCTGTATTAGGACTGTGAACTACAGGGGTTGGGAGCTTTTTAACAGCCCAGATGTTGCAGTAACAAATCAAGGCTTAGTAACTAAATGGATTCTTTTACTGTAAAACCTGCTGGTTTGTTTTTCTCTTTCTCACACTGCCATCGACTCTTTTTTTTTTTTTTTTTTTTTTTTTTTTTTTGTCCCTTTTAGAAAACAGGTCCACTGAAGTCTGTTCCAGAGGGAAGAGAAGAAAACACATCAGTGAGGACAAAGAGCTGAGCAGCACTTAGGCACAGAGCCTTCTCACACCAAATGCCCACAGAGAGATGCAGCTGAGGATTGAGAGTCACACAAAATCCCAGCACACTCTTCTTTCCAATACCTTCTGTCCCAAGCAGATCTCCTTATCTCTAAGTTCACCTTGAACTTGTGGAAACTACAAGACCAGGAAAAAAATTCAGTCTTATGGTTAGGGCACAGGAACCAGGAAGTTTGATTTCCATTCCTGTTTTTTCTGCAGGTGTGTGAAAATCCCTATTGTTTGCAGACTGTTTCAAGCTCTTCACATTGCTTCATGAGAACAGAGCAGTGCTCTTGTATGTTTTCAGCTCTCAGTGTTGGAAGCAGAGTTTGATTTATTGCCATATGTAGCATTTCCCTTAATCTGGAGACAAAAATATATAAGGTAGAACTCAGGCAAACCTGGAAATACCGAGTCTTTTCTCTGGCAAATAGTCCATTCCACTGATTTTGCATTTTTTGTCTTCATAGAATCATGGAATAGTTTAAGATAGAAGCACCTTTTAAAGGTCATTGAATCCAACCCCTCTGCCATGGACAGGGACACTTTCCACTAGACCAAGTTGGTCCAAGTCCCTTCCATCCTGGCCTTGAACACTTCCAGGGATGGGGAAGTTCTCTTGTGCCTTTCTTATGTGAAAGACAGAGAACTTCTGAATCAAAAATGATTGTTTTTTATGAGGCCATACTGATCTGAACAAAGTTAGCCCCAAACTGAGTTATGGAGTTTGTTGCCATTTGAGAAACAAACGTGGCAAAGGAAATTTCAGCTTGAAAGTTCCAGCATAGCAAGACCTCATTGTGAAAAGTGTGAGGAAATCTTAATAGAGGGTGTTAGTGCCTCTGCCTTCTATAATAATTTGAAAACTGTACATTAAAATACTGACAATAACAGAGGGTAATGAACCATTGAATGTCAAAAATAATATGTAGGAAAAGGTCAGCTCTTTGGGAAAGCAAGTGCCTCTGGATTGACAAGGTTAATCATAAAAATAAATGTATTGCTGCTAAATTGCCTGTTGCTGGGTAACCCACAGGCGAAGGGAAGGGTGTTTGTTTAATGGCAGGAATTTAATGATTCACCATCTGAGTGAAGTTTTCTTCAGTGGAGTGTGTAAGATTTTTATTTAGACAATGGAGTCTACCTGCTCCATTTGACCAGCTAATCTGTCTCTAGACT